AATGATGCTTACATAGTTGACTATTGGTAAGACCATTGCTTCCAAATTTTTCACACTCTTCCTCTTGTAAATGAGGAATAGGAGGAAATTAGGGGAGAAGCTACACCCAGCCTTCCCACTACTCCAGTACCCAAGGATGGGAAACAACCATCCAATGCCACCCCAGAGTTCCCGATGTGGAGTCTGCTCCAAGTGTTCTACTCAAGTGATTTCCATAGTTCTAAAATGCTAGCAATCTTACCAATCCAAGGATGAGGAAATCCTTCCAAGGTCCATCTACTGACACAAGTCACCCAGAGTCTCCATCCACCCAGATATTTGCTGTCAATGCTTGGCTGGGGAGTTTTTCTACTCTCCTTCTTATGGTACCAGATGCCCTCTGCAGGCCCCAATGGACTGCCAAATCCCATATGTGCATCTGGGCATGCCATCCACTGCTATGTCTAAGCCACTGAGTAGGCCCCGTTCTAACACATGCACTCAACTCCACAGTTAGAAGACAAATCCTGCAATTCTCCCCATGGTTGGAGTTCTGAGTCCAGCAGTTCACTTGGGAGGATCCCCATGGAAATCTTGTCAGAGGAGATCCCAGACCTGACTGTTGTGTGGGGTTGCCAGTACGGGGTCTCACTCAGTCTGTTGCCCATGTCAGCCTACACACACACTGGTAGTTGTAATTGCTTGGTCAGTTTTGTCTCCAGCTCCATCAGTTAGGTAAACCAATGGATGCTGCGGCCCAACCCAACCCTGCCCACCACACACTTGGCACTCATGTACACCAGCACAACTGCAGTCTAGTTGGGTGACCCCCCAATAACTTCCACCAGGTCCACCCCCCAGCCCTAGTTCCTATGCTCACCAGAATATGCAGCAGACAGGCCCAGTCTGTCCTACATTCCATTCAGCTGTCATATGCATCAATCGGCAGTGAAACTTAGCTCAACCAAACAGACCCCCCTATCCAACCTACACTCATGCCAAAGGGTGCCACCACCTGTCTGACCAAGCCCACCTTTAGACCTAATTATAATGCTCATCACTGGGAGTTGCATCCCATCAGGGAGGTGCCCACAGTTTCCCTAGCAGGCCCATTCCCAGCCCCAGATCTTGCATTTGTCAAGGACTTGCTCCCATCCTAGCACTTGCCAGTGATGCTACGGCAAAGACTAACCAGCCTGCACCTACTCTGGCTCATGTATGCACCAGAGGCTACAGTCAGTTAGTCCAGCCTGGCTCACCCTCTAGCCCAGCTCACATGCAGGTCAATAGGTTTGTAGCCCTGCCTGGCCTGGTCCGCCCCTGGTTCCAGTACTCACACTCACCTTGGGAGCAGTGGCCCAGCAGAGCAGCCCAGCCTGTCCCCCTACTGGGCTTACACCCTTCCCTCTGGGTTTCACATGTGCTGGTAGGTACTGAGGCCCAGTCTGGCATGGGCCACCTCACCTCAGCACTTGCTGGCGGATACTGTAGCCTGGCCCAGTCTGGCCTGCCTCCAGTTCCGGCTCACCAAACCCACCCAACTCAAAACCACCACCAAACCCAGCCCAGCCAGCCCCCAGTCTTGGCCCTACTGTGGCCTGGCTTGTGTTGTGGCCTGACGCGGCATATCCTGCATCCCATCCTGTTTCTCAGCTCTGCCAGTGAGTGTTATGAACTGGACCACCCTGACCTGTCCCCACATCTGAGCCACACGTATGCTGGCAAGTACCCAGCCTCGGTCCTTATGCTCACCTGCAGGGACTGTGACCTGACAAAGGGGTTCACCAAGCTCCTCTATTAGATCTCCTCCCAGTGGCAGATTTTGCACACACTGGTGGATCCTTTGCCAAGACTGATTTAGTCCACCTCCTGTCCTAGCAGGAACAGTGGCCTTCCCCAACCAGCCAACACCTGTTTCGGTTCTTACTATTGGGTGTTACAGCTCAGTCAACCCTGGCCCATGGATATAGCTCTCACGTGGTTTAGTGGATGCCAAAAACTAGCCCAGTGCATCCTATACCCACTCTGGCTCTCATGAGCATCAATGAATGCTGGAGCCTAGCCCAGCTTGGCACACCCCAGGTCTAATCCACACCCATGAAGTATACTGCAGTCATGTCCAGGCTAGAATGCTTTTCCTGTTTTGGCACTCACACTCACTCATGGGAACCACAACCCAGCCAGGGCATCCCCTTAGCTCCCCAACCAGGCCTGTTCCCAGCCACAGATCTTGTATATGCCAGTGGTTACTCCGACCCAGCTCTGCATAGTCCATCCTCCATCTTGGCCTTTGCCATTGGATGCTACAGCCTGGCCTAATTCAGCCTGCCCCCAGTGCCAACTCTTGCTGGTGTATGCTGCAGCTCAGCCACATCCAGTCTGCTCCCATCCCTGGCTCAAGCAAACCAAAATGTGTGATAGCCTAGTCTGGCATGAACATGCAAGAGAGTTAAGGTTGGTCTGATCCCGCCCAATCCGCACTCTCCAGAACCAACCCACACACTTGCCTGGCCTAACCAACACCCAGACCAGAATCACATGCTCACCAGCAGGAGCTATGTTCCACCAGAGAGGTTTCCCAAGTTTCCCTACCAGACCCAGACCCAGAGCTCACATGTGGCAGCAGGCACTAGGTCCTTACCAGGTATAGTCTGTGCCCTCCTTCCCAGCATTTGTATGAGCTGGTGGGTGTTGTGGCTGGCCCACCCCCACGCCCTATTCTTGGTTGCGTCTATAGGTGCTGAAGCACTGGACCTGCCCAGCCTGTTCCAACTCCAGTACCCATGAGTGTCGAAGGGTTCCATGGCCATGCCTGACTCAGCCTGTCACCACCCCAGCTCTTAAGCAAGCCAATGGAAATTGAAGTTCCACAGGGGTAAGCCAACATATCCCCCAGAGAATCTTTCTCTGGACCTGGTTCTCTCATGTGCTCCTTAGCATCATGACTAACATTACCTGCCCCCATTCTGGCTATCACTGGGGGTACTAGATTTAGCCCTGCCAGGCAGGTCTCCAGCTCTAGCTTTAGTATGCAACAATGGATGGTGGTTAGCTGTGATCCATGCTAACTAGCCCAGCTGAGGTCTCCCAGGTGGACTAGTGTATCTGTCTGACCCATAAACTCCTGCAGCTCCCTACCTCCAAACTGCTTGGTCTCAGCCCACTTGTTTACTTGCAAGTACAGTGCCTTTGTCAGTGGGAGTCCCTTAGAAGTCATTCCTTGCCTGCAACACACTCCCTCAGGGATCTTCTCTCCCACACATCTCCTTCCCACCCTCCCTGATCAATCCACAGACCACACATGTGGGGAGATCCCCAAGCTCGCTCCACTTGCCTGAACATGAAGCCACGCCTCTGCCAAGCACCATCCCCCATCTCCCCAAAAGCCCACACCCCAGGTCCCACGAGCCCCAAGTCCACGCCCCGCCAGCAGCTAGCCTGCATGACAGTTGCTCGCCACAGAGCACAAACTCAGGGGCCCTTACTTTAGCATTTTTGTAGCAAAGATATTATTACTTCTTTATTTCATAACAACAGGTATATTAATTTTTTTAAGATGGATAATCCACAGGGCCATTATTGTGGAATAGTAGGTGACCTGATGTCTGCAGGGCCAGTACTCATAGAGGCACTGGTTGATGTCCCGGCTACTACTTGCTATTCAGCTCTCTGCTTATGGTCTGGGAAGGTGGCGGAGAATGGCCAACTGCTTGAGCCCCTGTACCCACAAGGGATACCTGGAAGATGCTCTCCTGGCTTTGGCCTGGCCCAGCCCCAGCCATGGCAGCCATCTGGAGAGTGAGCCAGCACATGGAAGGGTTCTCTCCCTCTTTCTTTGTAACACTCTCAAATAAATAAAATTGATTTAAAAAAAAAAAACAGATAACTCACTTGCTTCTAGTTCCCCAGACCATGCCTGGGCAGGCAGCGGCCTGTGAGGGGCTGTAAGGTCAAGAGGAAGTGACTGTTGTAGTCAAGAGGCGCGGGCTAAGGCTTATTTCTTTCATAGTTTGCCTTTCTCCTTCAAAGAGGAAAAGCTGTTTATTACTCACGCCAACAGAAGGAATGACTTCCCAGAATGGAAACAAACAAACAAAAAGCCAGAGTATTAGAAAAGGAAAGAAAGCGTAACATAAAACCAGAAAGAGAGAAATGGGAAACGCGAGAGCTACTTGAGAGAACGTGGGTCTGCGGCAGTGAGCCTCAGACCTGACTTACTGTGCCTGAGGAAGGCTGAGGCCCCGGGCTGGTTCAGGCGCTTGTCCGGAAAGTGTGTGTGAGGGGTGCGGAGTGTGAAGAACGCTGTGTGTGCTCACAGTGTGTGTGGATTTCGGAGAGTAGATGTGTGTGAGGATAGAGTGTGGAGTTTTCTGTGGAACTGTGTGTGTGTGTGTGTGTGGTGTGTGTGTGTGTGTGTGTGTGTGTGTGTGTGTGTGTGTGTGTGTGTCAAGGTTAGGCCTTGGGTGTGAACAGTGAATGTGTGAGAAATGTGGATTTGGGTAAAGCATGGATGAGGCTGTGTGTGCGTGAACATGAGGAAGACTCTGTGTACGTGGGCCTTGAGGGAAGGATGTGTGTGCCCTGTGTGTAATGTGGCCAGCAAACACTTCAGTGGGAAATACAACTACGTGAGTGCCAAGAGGGTTGTGCGAGAAGTGTGGATGAGGTATGCGTAATGTGACAGTGCAGACAGCGTTGAGACCCTGGACGTGTTTGTGTGTGTGGACACAGTAATAAGTGTGTCCTGTTAAAAGTTGTGTGAATGTGGACAGTTTGCGAGGCGGGGTGAAGGGCTGTGTGCGTGAGTGTGGACAGAGTGGAGACGGCCGGGTGTGCGGAGCGTGGCGTGCGTGCGCGCGCAGCCGGACGCGTGTCCTCGCGGCACCCGGTGCTCCGGCGCGCGCGCGAGCGGAGCGCGTGGCCGTGGCCGGGCGGGCGGATGGGACGCGCCCCGCTCTGGATGCGCGCGCGTCGCCGCCCCGGCTGCCGGTCTCTGCGGAAGGCGGAGGGAGAAGCGGAGCCCGGGAAGCGGGAGTGGGACCCGAGCACGTCGGCTCGGCTGGGAGGCCGCGGACATGTGCAGGATGTCCTTCAAGGTGAGCACCGTGGGCTCGACCAGCGACTGTCCCGGCCCTGGGCGGCGGGGCCAGCCCGGCATGGAGAGGTGGGACGCCGGCCTCCAGCCCCGGCTACGGACCGGTCAGACCAGGAAGCGGCAGGAGGCTGAGGCAGTCCGGTGGGGTTGTGGTTTGCCTGCATCCGCTTTGCTCGGCTCGCTGGAATGTGGGCACTTAGGGTTGCGGTTCCCGGGCGAAGGGGCGGCGGCCGCAGTGGCTGCTGTCACCAGGGTAACAGGTCCCGGCAGGGGCGGGAGGAAGCCCGAGGTCAATGCTTTGCTGCAGCCGCAGGACTCCGCTCCGCTGGCACTGCTGGGCGTCCCAGGTCCGCAGGGCGGAATCTGAGTGAGTAGTAGAATGGAGCTGCCGTCCCTTAGGAAGCTTGGGAACCCGAGTGTGTTGCAGTCGCTGCATTTAATCCCTGAGGCTGCAAATGAGGTTAACTGATTTCCATGATAAAGAGGTTATAGTTTAAAAAGAAAAAAATGCCAAGGGGCGGAACCCTTAAAAGGAATCCTGTGTGTGTGTGTGTTGTCTCAGCCCCCTCCAAGACCCATGAGATATCCCTGCCTGGCGTTTTGTTTGTTCTTGAGAAAACTAAAATTGGTGAAGTTCAATAACTCTCCCTGCAGTCTGGTAGCCAGTCAGTGAAGACAGTTAAGACAGCAACTCAGTGTATCAGGCTCCCAACCCACTGTCCTGTTACCCGAGCTGGCGTGCAAGCAGCGGAATGACGTGGGAGACCGCATGTTAATAAGCCCTGGCCGCAGAGTGCAGAAGGTGCAGAGCTGGAAGACCAATCCAGAGGATGTTGTGGTCATCCTGGTCCACAATGGTAGGGCAGAGAGAATGGAAGGCAATAGGCCAATGTGAATGACTTACACATTTTCAATCTGCAAGAATCAGCATTGGATATTATGCACTGAGTCAGGAAGGTAAGAGGGCTGAAGATAAAATACGGTTTGGGGTAAAGTTTGATAATGAATGGGGATCTAAAGAGGGGTGTTCATTCAACAGATGGGTAAACAAAGAGCCACCCTCCCCCATTGCCAGGAAGTGCAAGGAAGGACGGGTAGAGGTATTTGGGAATCAGCAGTACTCCGCCCTGTGCAGGAATGAATGTCACAGCCCAGTGTTGAGGACACAGTGTTGACAAGGAAGAGCAAAAACGCTGAGAGTGAGCAGAATGGGAGACACCCGTTGAGAAGCAGCAGCCAGACAAGGATGGAAGGTGGCAGACACATGGGCCTTCAGTCATGTGCACATGAGCCGGAGATCCCCAGGCTTGAAGGTGAAGGGGGCCGTGGTGGTACATCGCGCAGGGAAATCAAGCTGGGAATTGAAAGGGCCATCGCGTTGGCTGACAGATTGGCCACTGGGCACCTTGCCCAGACCAGTTCCTGTAAAGTGTTAGGGGCAGGAACCAGATGGCAGTCATTTAGGAGGAGAGTGGATAAAAACCTTGGTGTGCAGGAGCTTTGAAGAACAGCTGCAGGACAGTGGGATTTGCCAAGAGGAAGTGGCAACAACAGGATCCCATACTGCTGAAGGGCTGAAGACTGGCATATCAGCAATCAAAAGGCAAATATCCCAATTCTAAAAGGAATGGAGGCCTCTGAAGGGACATTTCTCCCTAGCAGATCTGCAAGTAGCCAGAAAGTACCTGAAAAGATGCTTAACATCTTTACCCGTCAGGGGAATGTCAATGAAAACCATAATAAGCTGGCATTTCCACTCACAAGGGTTACTGTAATCTGTAAGATAGACAGTAGCAAGTGTTGGCAGGAAATAGAGAAATTGTAGCCCACATATATTGTTGATAGGACTGCAAGATGATGCAGTCATTTTTTTAAAAATGTCAGGTCTTTCTTCAAAGGTTAAGTATGCAGTTGCCACGTGACCTAGCAATTCTACTTCTTGGTATATACCTAAGAGATATGAAAATATATGTTCACATGAAAACATGAATGCTGATATTCACAGCAGTAGTCTTCATAATGGCCAAAGCCTGGGAACAACCCAAAAGTTCCTCAACTAATTATAAGGAAAATACAATGTACATCATAAAAACCACAGAAGCCTGGTGCAATAGCCTATGGGCCAAAGTCCTCGCCTTGCATACATCGGGATCCCTAATGGACACTGGTTTTTGTCCTGGCGACCCCACTTCCCATCCAGCTCCCTGCTTGTGGCCTGGGAAAACAGTTGAATATGGGCCAAAGCCTTGGGACCCTGCACCCATGTGGAAACCTGGCTCTTGGCTTCGGATTGACTTAGCCCTGATCGTTGTGGCCACTGGGGGAGTGAACCAGCAGACAGGAAGATCTTTCTGTTTCTTCTTCTCTCCCTAAATCTGACTTTCCAATAAAAATAAATAAATCTTAAACATATGCACACAGATGGAGGGGCCTAAGCAACAGGTGCTTATTTCTCACAATTTAAAAGGCCAAAAAGCCCAAGAAAATAATGCCAGCAGATACAGCATCTGGCAGGAGCCCCTGACTTGCAGGCCTACTCCTTGTCACCTGCTGGAGGGAGAAATCTCTGGTTTCTCTCTATCTTGTTTCAAGAACATGAGTGCCGTCATGGGGTACTCACACATCGTTGGGCTAGTGCTCCAGTGTATGGATTTTTCGAGGGTACAAATGTTCAACCCATAGCATTCTTCCCCCTGTCAAATCTTTGTCCTTCTTGCATGCCAAAGGTATTCATTCCATCCCAACAGTCCCTGAAATCCTCACTTCAGCATCAACTCTGAAATCCAAACCCAGAGTCCCATCTCCATAGCAAGTAAACTGCATAGGGGCGAGGCTGGAGGTACAGTCCATCCTGCGGTGAATCACTGTGCTGGTGTGAGCCTGTGCATCAAGCAAGTCGAAAGCATCTGAAATACCAAGGTGGGAAAGGCACAGGACAGATTTCCCCTCCACGAGGTTGTGGAACCTAGGGGTAAAACAGTTGACTGCAGAGATTTCCAACTGCAAGAGAAAAACTGAAAGGAAGTAATAGGAATTGGATCCCAAGCAAGTCCAAACCCTGGCAAGGCAAATACCATTATTTTTTAAAGATTTATTTATTTTTATTTGAAAGGTAGAATTTACCAAGAGAGAAGGACAGAGAAAAAAGGTCTTCCAGCTACTGGTTCATTCCCTAAATGTCTGCAATGGCCAGAGCTAAGCTGATCCAAATCCAGCAGCCAGGAGCTTCTTCCAAGACTCCCCCATGGAGGGACCCAAGAATGTGGGCCATCCCCTGCTGCTCTCCCAGGCCACAGGCAAAGAGCTGGATGAGAAGTGGAGCAGCCAGGACATGAAATGGCATTCATATAGGATGCTGGAATCACAGGGTGAAAGATTAGCCTGATAAACTACCATGCCAGCCCTTTGGTTCATTTAAAAAATATATATTTTATGTATGTTAAAGGCAGAGAAACAGAGCAAGAGAAGAGGAAAAGGGAGAGATGGAGGAAAAGATAACGGATGATTTTTAGCTCTCTCCCCAAATGGCCACAATGAAGCCAGAAGTCTGGAACTCTGTCCAGGTCTCCTGTGTGGAAGGCATGGGCCCAAGTACTTGAGTCATCCTCTGCTGCCTTCCCTGGCGCATTAGCACGGAGCTGGGCTGGAAGTGGAGCGATCGGTGCTCTGATATGACATGCTGCTATACCAAGCAGGGGCTTAACCCTCTGCACAGCAGCACCAGCACCCCCTCTCTGATTCAGTGCTGTATTTTCTGGGCCATCTAGGACAGGGATTCCATCCTTAAGAGCTTCAGTGCATGGATTTGAGGCAGAGGTGGGAGGTCCACATTCAGTGTATAGCCTGCCATCTCCACACGATGGCATATCATTGAGCCATAGAAAGGAACGAAGCACTAATTGCTACAACATAGATGAGCCTTGAAATCATCAGGTTAAGTGCAGTAAGCCAGACACAAAAGGCTGCATAGTGTGTGATTCTGTTTGTATGAAATATCCCAAATAGGACAGTTCATAGAGGCAGAAAGTGGATGAGTGGTGGCCAGGGCATGGGGAAAGGAGATGGGATGTGATTGGGAATTGGTGTGGAGTTTCTGTTTTGGGGATGATGAAAACACTGTGAAGTGATCGTGGTGATGGTTACACGCACAAACATATCAAAATTCAGTAAATTGTATGCTTTAAAAGAATGGATTTTATGTAAACATTATATCTCAATGTTTTATAGTATTTTAGGAAATAGAAGATCAGATTGCAAGATAAGTGGTATACAGGAAATAATTTCATTTGATGGGAGAGTATGCAGAAAATTCAGTTTGGTTTTTGAGACTTCGTAAACTTGGTGCATTTTTTAAGATGATTTGATGTTTTAGCTGTTCAGATGTGTTTGTGGAAATAGTGACACACAAAAAGATGTAATTCTGTATGGTTTGAAATGGATCTTATGAGGCATGTAATACCAAGATTATTACTTTATAACGTTCACTTAAGCAAAATTGAATTTAGTTTTGAGCTTTAGTCTTGCATAGACTGACCTCTAAACCCTGCCCAGCTAAACAATACTGTCAAAAGTTCCCCAGCTCCAGGCACTGCCTAGATTGCCTTGTGTCTAGATGAGTGTTACACTGCTGGGAGAAAAACAGCCAATAGCTGTTGGGCAATCTGGGCCTGATTAATGCCAAGTTTGTGTTAACTAAATCAGTGTGCCAGCATGGCTCCCTGTTTTATTTTTTGTTTGTTTCTTTGTTTGTGTTTGTTGTTTAATATGTGGGGAAGGCTGGGAACACCAAACTGGGACATCCTAGGCTCCAGGCATAGGGGATGTACATTGCCCGATGAGAAAATTGTGGTGATGAGTTCAGGTGGGAGAGCCTGAGGGCATGGGTAGCAATGACTTTGGCAGCTTCCGTGGACGAAACCACTGCAGTGACCGGTAAGGGAGGGAGCTGAGACAGAGTGATTTAGAGGGGGGGAAAGTAAGCATTTCTGAGTTTGATAGTGG